TCTGTTTCTCTGTCTCTCAGTCTCAGTCTTTTGGAGACAAAGCCTCATGTAGCCTGGGCTGACCTTGCTGTATAGCCAAGGGTGACTTTGAACTTCTGGTCCTCTTGCCCACATCTCCCAAATGCTGGGATTATAGGCATGCACAATGATGCCCAATTTATATGGTACTAGGGATCAGACCCCAGGCTTCGTGGGCACTTGGCAAGTAGCCTATGAACTCAGCCATCCCCAGCCCCTTTAACCCAATTTTTAATCATATTTCTCAACTCCTTTTGGAATATATAAGCACTCAGAACCACTGAGCAATTTTTTCCAGAGTTCAGTCCATACAAGCTTATGAAACTGATTATATAAATGTATTCCTTCGACACAGACCCATTGATTAGAAGGGCCTGCCAAGATTGTTTTAAAAACCAAACACAATCTTCAAGTCAATCATTCATGCAAGAAAGAGTTGAAGTCAGAGAGCTTGTAGTTGAGAGGAGGCAAGGGCTGGTCACCTAGGACATCTAAACCTCCTCAGGAAACTAGGTGTGTGCATGCGTACTTGTGTGTGTGTGTGTGTGTGTGTGTGTGTGTGTGTGTGTATGATGTACCTGAAACTTCCATGTACCTAGCTGAAAGGAGGAACTTCTTAGGAACAGGTGAGTCAGGTGTGTGTGCACGCATGCACACACACACACACACACACCACAGCATGCATGTGAAGGTCAGAGGACAATTTTGCTGAAACCAGTTCTCTCCTCCTACCATGTAGATCCTGGTGATCAAACTCAGGTCATCAGACTTGGCCACATAAACCTTTGCTCACCAAGCCATCTCACTGGGCCATCTGTTTGCTTTTTCTTTTTAAAAGTATTTGTTTTATGTGCATGTATGTGTGTGCCTGAGTGCATGTATGTGTACCTCATGCATACAGGAGCCTACAAAGTCAGAAGGTGTTGACAGAGGTTGCTGTCCCGCCTGGTCTCGCAGCCTTTCAGTCCCAAAGAAACACACAGAGGCCTACATTAATTATGAACTGGCTGGCCTATTAGCTCAGACTTCTTATTAACTCTTACATCCTACATTAACCCACAACCCTTGTCTGTGTTAGCCATGTGGCCTGGTACCTTTTATCAGCGAGGCTTTCTCATCTTCCTTCCTCTGTGACGCCTGCAAACTGACCCTATCCTCTTCCCAGAATTCTCCTGTTCTCGTTGCCCCACCTTTACTTCCTGCCTGGCTACTGGCCAATCAGCATTTTATTAAAACAATACAAGACCATTGTCCCACAGCAAGAAGGGGGGGAGTTGTGGGCAGTTGTGAGCCACCATATGGGTGTTGGGAACAGAAACCAGGTCTTTTGGAAAAGCAGCCAGTGCTCCTAACCACTGAGCCACCTCTCCAGCTCATCACCTACTTTTCTTAAGTGAGTTCTGGGAAACTGAGCTCATGTCCTCATGCTTGTGCTACAGGAACATTACCCAGTGAATCACACCTGCCTTTACTTATTCCCAGAGAGTAAATACAGCATCATCTGGGACCCAAAGTAGACTTTCTTGTCTTCAGTCTGGCTGCCTACGAATGTCGCTATTGTCTGAGGAGTCACTCAGAACTGCAGAGAACAGACAGGGGCACTTTCCACAGAACACAATGTGAGCAGTATGACACGCATCTAAGAAGCTTCTCTTAGCCATTGTACATCATATGATCTCCCACTGACTAATGATAGCAAGAGACAGGGAGAGATATGAGTCGCCAAAGGCCATTATCTAAACTCTTATGTTCAAGCTCTCACCCAAAATGAATTTGGAAGAAGGGGCTGATCTCTGGTCTGATTCATTGAATAAATGTGTTGGACGGAAAGAAATGACAGAGTCACACCTTTTCCTCCATACCAGCACTTACTAGAGATGCCAGAGGTGTCGAATAAGGGGAAGGCAGAGAAAAGCCACAGGTCTCATGCTGTGGGGTCACTGTTGTAAAACATGGGGATGTTGAAGCCTGCAGAGCCCTAAGCCCCTTGCCCTGATGACTGAGTTCAAGTCACTATGAAATCAACTAAGAGAACCTCTTCATATTGAGCTAACTTTCCTGGTCGGACCATCAGGAGGTTTTGAGAACAACATGAGGTAAAACAGTCAGTAAACAGCAGTCATGGGCTGAGCCTGTCCCCCAAAGTGCACACGATTGGAAAAGGACAACAGAAGTCCAGTTGTCTAGGGTCAGGGAGATGTTCTAGCCAGGGAAGCGCTTGCTGCACAGGCGTGAGGACCCAGGTTTGAATCCCCAGCTCCCAGCGGAGCATGCAGTCAAAATCCCAGCAAGTACACAGTGGAATGGAATACAAAGGCAATGTTTCCTAGAAGCTGCAGGCTGGCTAGCTTAGCATTAGAAGCAGCACACAACAGAGACCCTGTCAAAACAAGGTGGACGCTGAGGGCTGACACCAGAAATTTTCCTCTGACCTTCACACATGCACACACATTCACGCACATGAACACGCACATATGTAAAATAAATAATTTTTTTAAAGGCACAAGGTACCTTGAAGTTCAAAGCACAGACTCTGCATAAAAGAGCCTCTAGGGAAGAGGAGACAGGTGGATCCCTGGGGTTCCATGGCCACCGGCCTAGCCTGTTGGGCTAATTCCAGCCCAATGATGGAACCTGTTTGCTGTTCTCTAGTCTCCACATGTATACATACATGTATATATACATACCCCATAACAACATGTGCACACACCCCTCACATGAACGTGTGCACGCGCACACACGCACACACACATGCATGCACACACACACATGCACACACCCCTCACATGAACATGTGTGCACACGCGCACACACATACGTGCACACACACACACAGAGCTGTGCTTGGCCTCACCTGCCCATTAGGAAAGCAATGCAGCAATCTCAGAGCCACCACAAATGATGACTGTATCACCAGACGTAGGGATGCCTTGCCCCACCTCCTGTCCTGCACAGAGCCCCCAGGCGGGACTACATCCTCAGGTGTGCCATATGGACAGGACTGCTGTCTTTGCACACATCTGGAAAAGCATCGAGATAAACACATTTGCTGTGGTGAAAAAGAGCCCCCAGGCTCACATAAGCTACTTGACTAGTGGCAGGGCCTGTGCGCTCCTGTGACACAGGAAGGGGGAGTTCTTCCCACCAAGGACGGCAGTGATTGGCACGAAGTCCTACGGGTCAGCATGGCTGGAACTGCCCACTGGTACAGGGTGGATGACATTCCTATCACGTCTCTCAAGTGCCAATGCCACTGTTTTCAAAACATCTCCGAAAGTGAGGTTTGAAGTCAGAACCAATGTGCATGTGTGTCTATGTGCATATATACATGCCACAGCTGGAACGTATACAGGTGTGTCTCTGTGCATATACACATGGTACAGTTTGAATGTGTACATATGTGTCTCTGTACATGTACACAGGCCACAGCTGGAATGTATACAGGTGTGTCTCTGTGCATATACACATGGTACAGTTTGAATGTGTACATATGTGTCTCTGTACATGTACACAGGCCACAGCTGGAATGTATACATGTGTGTCTCTGTGCATATACACATGGTACAGTTTGAATGTGTACATATGTGTCTCTGTACATGTACACAGGCCACAGCTGGAATGTATACATGTGTGTCTCTGTGCATATACACATGGTACAGTTTGAATGTGTACATATGTGTCTCTGTACATGTACACATGACACAGCTGGAATGTATACAGGTGTGTCTCTGTACATGTACACATGACACAGCTGGAACTCATACATGTGCTACTGAAAAAGAGGGGTGAGAACGCGAGTCAAATAACCCAAGCTAACTCCAAGAGATTGCAGTTATAATTCTTTATTATAAGGGGCAAACTCATGGAACAGGAACAAGAAGTCCAACCTCAGGTGTGCAACGCGGAAGAGAGAGAGAGAGAGAGAGAGAGAGAGAGAGAGAGAGAGAGAGCGAGCCCTGGGCAGGCAGGCGGTTTTCTCTGGGTAACCAAAAGGTCACGCCCTGACCTGGTCCAGCCTCTTAAAGCTCATTGGCTGAAGGAGGTTCCCCATCACATATGTGCATATACACATCCCACAGCTTGAATGTACACATGGTGTCTGTGTGCGTATACACATCCCACAGCTCGAATGCACACATGGTGTCTGTGTGCGTATACACATCCCACAGCTGGAATGTACACATGGTGTCTGTGTGCATATACACATCCCACAGCTCGACTGCACACATGGTGTCTGTGTGCGTATACACATCCCACAGCTCGAATGAGGCACTAGTTGATTTTCTCCTTCCACCATGTAGGTCTGGGGGATCAAACTCAGGAAATCAAGTTTGGCAGCAAGCACCTTTACTTGTTGAGCCATCTTGCTGGCCCCAAAATGTCCATATTCTATTGACCCAAAAGACTCAACTCTTGCAATCTAAAAAACCAAATAAAACCAAAAGACCTCTAATCATCTTAAGCCCTGGTAAGTGGATCACCATCTATGAGGGTCAGAGTCCTTTATTTCAAGATGAAGTTGCGGCATCTGAGACAGTTCACTGCAAGAACCATGACACACGCGTGAGAACTTACTTTGTGCCAGGCTCTGCCTATTAGGGGACAACAGGCAGTATCTAACTTGACACTCATGTGTGCACACGTATGCTGTATAAGTTCTATGTCACGTTACTCTTCTCCATGGGGAAAGCAAGCTTCCTTGGTGCTGGATCAACCTTTCTTGAGATTCCAAGCCTTGGCTGCGGAGATGGCTCAATGGATGCTCACTGCTATGAGGAGCTGAGGAGCTGTTTCAGATCCCTCAGTCTCTCGTGATGGAAGAAGAGAACTCCCAAGAGTTGTTGATTACACACATGTTCTCTCTCTCTCTAACACACACACACAATTATAAAGTAAAATTATAAAGTAAAAGTTATAATTAATTTTAAATATAAGTAAATTTAAATGTATATACACACAAAATGACAAAATGTGTGTGTGTTCTCCACCCACCTCAGCCTCTGAGGACTTGGGACTACAGACACAGGCCAGTGTACCTATATCAAGTTTATATACATAACTATATGTCTAGAAAATGTCTTAAAATGTGTACAGAAAGGTGAGCAAAGAACTAACCTTAGAATAAGGGAATCTAGCCAGGGATGTGGCTCAGTTAGTAGGGTGCTTGCCTACCATCCACGAGGCCTTCCGCTCAATTCCCCACACCAGAATCAGACTAGGTATGACACATGCCCAAAAGCCAGCACTCGGAAGTAAGGGCAGGAAGAGCAGGAATTCAGGTTCATCCTTGGCTACAAAACAAGTTTGAGGCTAGCCTAGACTACAGATATACATACATACATACGTGTGTGTGTGTGTAGTACTATAGGCATATAGTAAAAATGCAAATATATAAAATTATATATATTACTTTTTCATCTCCAAGATGGTTTCTAAGAATTAACTTTTACTTGTAAAATTTAAAATTCCCAAGATAAGATAAACATTAAAATATTAATATAGGGAAAATAATTCAGAGGGACATCATAGACCAAAATGTTCAATATGTTCATGACATTTACCTGATAGGTTTCTTTTTTTAAAAAATTGTTGCATATATATTAGATTTGTTTTTGCTGACATTGAATGCAATGTATTCTAGTAAAATTAAGCATTAGAGATATGACTTTTTGTATCTTTGCTTTCCAAACCTAGCTTCCTCCTGCATGTCCTTTTGTGCACATGCATATCACATAAGTTATATGTCTTGTTGCTGTGACAAAATTCCCAACAAAAACACATCAGAAAAGACCTCATTGTGGCTCACAGTTTCAAGGGCACAGTCCATCATGGTGGGGAAGGCATGGCCGCAGGAGCATGATGTGGCCGTTCACAACACATCCACAGTCGGGAAGCAGAGAAATGGATGCTGGTGCTCAGCTCACCTGGACCTAAACACAGGGACTACCGCTGCCCACAGTTAGTGTAGTAGGCCTTCTGCTCATAATTAACCAAATCTAGAAACTCACAGACATGCCCAGAGGTCTGTCTCCCTGGTGATTTGAGATCCAGTAGAAGTGAAACTCAATACTGACCATTGTATAAATCCCTGCGTGTATTTGTTCACAGCTCGTGGGAGTCAGTTCTCTCCCTCCACCACGTGGTGCTGGGCACTGAACTTGGTCCTCAGGCTTGGCAGCGAGCGCCTTTACCCTTCAAGCCTTCTCTTACGGGCCCAATGTAGTTTTGGAAACTTGTAACACATTTGCTTGAGAACTTCTGTAATCTCATTCATTGTTATATCTCAGACTTCATGTCCCTAAGTGACAGGATGTTCTCACGGTTGACTAAGCAGGAATCTAGAACACAGAGACACAGTTATACGACGCTCTATTACCATCATTTAGGTTGGTTACAGTTTCCTATTTTAACACTACAGCGAATTCCCTTCTTAGAGATTTCTTTGGAAAAAGACTCCAAGAATTGGACTTCTGGGTCCCTATAATTTATCTCAGTAGACACTCTTCCAAATTGCTCATTTAAATGATTTAAATAAGATTTACTCTCCCATCAGCAGTGCAGGCACACATCACTGTCAGGGGCTGCCGAACCCTTTCTTTTTTGTCTGTTAATAGAAAGTGGAATCCTCTTATTTAACTCGAATTTCCCTGGGAAAAAGGTATGTATCTCCATATTTGTCATACATACGAGTGTTCCTTTTATTCTCTCTCTCTCTTTCTCTCTCTCTGTATGTGTGTGTATGTGTGTGTGTGTGTGTGTGTGTGTGTGTGCGAGTGTGTGTATTGCTGGCAGCAGCCAGTTTTTTTCTACCACCATGTAGCTCCTGGGGATCAAACTCAGGGATGCAGGCTCAGCAGCAAGTTGAGTTGACGAGCATCTTGCCTGCCCCTGTATTCCTTCTACACCAATCTCTGTAAATTTTCACTATATTGTTATCTTTTCATTGAATTGCAAGAGTCCTTTAATCTAGAAATGAAACCTTCACTTTGATGTGCAAATAGACTCTTCCCATCTTTGTGTTTTGACCTTCATGGGACTTTTTTAAAAGATTCATTTTTTAATTATATGTATGTGTGTATGCTTCTGTGTGAGTTTGTGCCCACATAGGCTATGAGATTGCCCTGGAGCTGAAGGCTGTGAACCCCTGGATGTGGGTGCTAAAAACTCAACTCAGGCCCTCTGGAAGGGTAGTTGAGTCACCTCTCCAGCCAATGTGATCTTCGACCTAGTTTTTTATATTTGTATGCCAGATCTGATGAATTTCAGAAGCCACATTTTAAGGTCTTCTCTTTGTCAAAGTCATGAACCTTATCCAAACTTCCTTCTCATCATTTTTCATGTTTATTTCCACTATCTGAAATCACGGTCCCTGTTCCCAGCCCCTGGAGCCTGTACTTTCTATTAAAGCCCAAGCTCTCGCATGCCACCTTGCCTATATGCTGGCTAGTGCCTCCTGAGAAAAACAAAACAACAAAGACAAGACACTTTTCCACTGGTGACAGGGCCCAGTGGACAAAGCACTTGCCGTACAAGCCTGAGGATTTGAGTTCGATCCTTGAACTCTCACGAAAATAGAAAGAATTGACAGCTGACTCCTCACAGCTATCCCGACTTCCTCATGCACACTGTGGCACCACACACCCAAAACAACAACAGCAGCAGCAGCAACAACAATAACAACAATAGCAACAACTACAGCAGCAGCAGCAGCAACTCAGCAACAGCAGCAGCAGCAACAGCAATTCTTTCCCTCAGCAAAACTGTCTGTTCAATTCTTGAAGACGGCTCAACCGGGACTTAGAAAAATGATAAAAACAAAAATAACAGCTCACAGAACTTGTCTGTGTTCCTGTGGCAGTTTGTCCTGCCATTCTAGTAAAAGCAGGCCTATCTTTCCCACTTACTGCAGCAGAACATGTCTGAGGCCATCTGTGTACTCAGCACTTTGTTTAATGAACGAATGAATAAAACAAACAGTCTCTGTTTTAAAAAAGGACTCTATTAAACCTTCCAACAGAGTAGAGCGCTTCTGACCATGCTAATCAGACTCTTCTAGAGGATTCCTCTGCGAGAAAGACCTTAACTCCCTCACAGCTCCCCCACCTCAATGAATCCAGTTTGCCCTCTCTGCAAAGGAAGAGGCCAACAATGGAAGCCAGCCAGCCCTTCCAGACGATCTAAGCACAACATGCTGGCTGAGACCCTTCAAAGCAGCCACGGCTCAGCACCCAGGAACCAGGAGAATTACACGGTTCTGGAAGAAAGCTTCTTCCAGGACACAGACTGCGTCCCCATAATTTTCTCCTGGAAGTACACATATCCGGCTACCTAATCTTTCCCAACAAATGAATTTGCTGCTATTACAGTTTGCTATTTTTTTAAAAAGCCAGGAAATAGCCCCCCCACACACACACAAAATGCTAGCAGCATTATTAGTGTAGACTGATAGAAAAAAAGAAAAGAAAGAAAAACAACCCTTTACACCAGGAAAGCTCCCTAAAATAATCACTACCCAATGCCTTGGGGGTACACATCTCACACCCCTGGGGTAAGCAATGACTTTGACTGTCCCTAAGAGCCTCCTCCAGTCTGTCAGTCACAGAAAACAGCAGTTTCTCTAAAGAGTATCTAAACAGTATGCTCTTGGTTGCAGTTTTCTCCAAATGTTTTCATGACTTTTTAAAATTTGTGTGTGTGTGTGTGTGTGTCTGTGTCTGTGTTTCACACGCAGGCAGCGCCCCACCCCTAGCACGTACAGAAGTCCTGTTCTGTCGCTCTGATTTATACCTTTGAGAAGGGTCTCCTGCTGAACCCAGAGCTAGGCTGGCAGCTAGCATGCCCAGTGGCGTTCTTGTCCGTCCCTCTACGGCTCTGGGGTTACAGGAGCACCTGGCCAGGACTTGCTTTCCACGTGGGTGGTGGGGATTCTAACTCACTCCCTCATGCTTGTGCAGAAAGTGCTCTTAACAATCCCTCCAGCTCTGGCTGTGTCTTTTTGAAGAACCCAACACATTAAGTCACCAAAAAGTTTCTAATTTTAGAAGAAAAAAATTATTTATTTTTGAGGCAGGGCCTCATGTAGTAAGGCTGGCCCTGAACTTCCTATACAGACAAGAATGACCTTGAACTCCTGATTCTTCTGTCTTTGTCCCTCTTCTCTCAAGTGCTGAGGTTGCTACCGTGGGCTTATTCCTGGCTGGGAACGCAATTCAGAGTACACTAGGCACTCTACCCGCTGAGCTACTCCCGAACCTCAGATGGGACACTTTTATTTCTGGCTGTGAGCCTGGCTTCTAATGGCCAAGCCATTTCTCCAGCCCAGATGTGCTACTTTTAAAACAAACATTTATTTCATTTTCATTCATATTTCAAAACATTTCAAGTGTTTTGCTCATTTTAGAACAAGAAAGGAAAGAAGAAGGCAATGGAGGGAGGGAAGGAGGAAGGGAAGAAAAGAAGAGAAGACAACGGCAAAGAGAGACCTCCGCAGGGAAGAATCAAGCCAAGGATTAATTTTTTTAAAGCTTTATTTGACAATTTAAAAAGCTCACTTTGGAAGACAGGATGCGAAGGTGTGCCGGCGTGCTCACCAGGACGAGGTGGGATTAGCCTTGTATCTCTCATAATCTTCTCCGCAGAAGAAGGCAATTTCAGTCTCACTGGCTGAAAAGAAGCACGGGGAAGGAGAGAAACTATTTTAATGTGAAACCATGTTTTGAGCAAGTATGGAAATCCGTATTACGCTGGTCTGTTCTCATGGATGTTGAAAATGAAAAGACTAAGCGGCGGTTGGACTGCAGGATAACTTTCCACCAAACCAGCCAGAAGCGTCAGTGTGGCTAGAACAGATTAAAACTCAAATAATTCAAAGACAAAAGGAAGAGTGATTCATGCTAGTGAGATGGTTAAGGAGCTTTCTGCTGAGCCTGGCAGCCTAAGTTCAACCCTCAGAGCTCACACGGTGGAGGGAGAGATCCTTTCAAGCTACCCTCTGACTTACACACACGCACGCACGCACACATGCACGCTCACACAAATAAATGCAATTCAAAAATTTGAAAACAATCTCCTTAAAAATCAAGAGTTAGCACAAGAGTGAAGATTTTTAAGAGGTACCTACATTGCTCATTTATATCCCTGGAAAATAAAAAACCTTGATCTCTTTCAAATAGTCCGTTCCAGAAGGGAAAGGACTCCCTCTGCCCCCCGAAATTAGCCCGTAGGTATAATAATTTAATACTTAGAGCATCAGTAGAATATTTTACAGATCACTTTACATTCTCCCTCATGACCCATCAGAATATGTGTCTGAAGAAGTTAATTTTTGGCCCCCGCTCATGACTAATTCATGAGGCTTCAGCAATATGCAAAGTGAAAGACACAAATTGGCTTCTATGCAATACCTTCAAATGCCTCTAATTATTCACGGGGGAAATGGCTCAGCTAAAGGACCCGCAGAAGTTCAGGGCGGCCGCGAAGCTTTCAACCTAGCGGGTCAAGGACTCCGTCTTCTAAAACAATAAGTCAGCAGCATTATTAATTCAGATCTGATGGAGAGCCTTCCAATTATTAAACATGTGGTTCTTCAAGGTGTCGGCACCCACAAGTTCCACGCTGGCTTTTTAAAATTAAACCACGAGTTAATACAGTCTGCTTGGCTTTCACAGAAGGCAAAAGGGCCTTCGGAAGCTCAACAAGAAAACAGACGTGATTATTCGTAATGAATACTGAGCACTCAATTAACATAGGCGCTCCGAAGAGACAGGGAACACTCTTCACCCCAAATAAACAGGATGAGGCATGCAGAGGATTAGCACCGGTCTGCAGCGTCGGCTCTAATCTCATCATTAGATTCTATCACAAAAGAATGAAATTCAAGAGATTAGCATGACATTTCATTAAGAATGGTTTCATTGTTTGCAAGAATATCATATGTAGTATCTCTCTGCCATAAATTACCCTGTGCTCTCGAGAAAATAAACAAATATTGAGAGGAGAAAAACGATATGACCATGTCCACGGATTCTTGGTCCAGACACACTTCATCCCCGGGATTAAATTTAATCCCGGGGGCTGATAATTTGATTGGGAACTCTCATGGCATTGAGCCTGGGTGGGGAGGCACCGCAGAAAGAAGCTGAGAATCAAAGGCGGGCTGGAGATGAGCCTCCCTCGGCGAAGAGTGGGTTAGTAAACAGTTCAGCATCTTGGCAAATTATCCCATTTCAAAGAATCATCTGACTGTAAAAAGGGGCTGGAGGGGCTGGGAGATGACCCTGTGGGGAAGAGCACTTGCTCTGCAAGCATGGGGATCTGAGTTCGAATCCCTAGCACCCATGTCAAAGTTGAGCATGGCTGTGTACGTGGGGTGGAGACAGGAGGATCCTGAGAGCAAACAGCCTAGCTGAAACAGTTCAACAGTGAAACTGTGAGTGTCTAAGTCAGTGAGACCCTGTCTCAAGGTTATAAGGCAGAGAGTAATAGAGGAAGACTCTAGATGTCCTGCTCTGGCCTCCACAGGCATGCTATAAACACACAAGCACATGCGGGTGTGGCCACAGAAAACTTGCTATTCCGGGGGAAGGTATGGGGCACTACACTTTGCAAAACCACAAGAAAACGTTATTTCTGAAGGGAAGCCTACTCAGAGCAAGGGCCACCTGACTGAGTCTTACCTCTCATCCTTCTTTGCTTTTTGACAAACAATGAACTAATCAGAGGGAAGACAGAAAGGACTGGGGATGGCTCAGCGCTTCAGAGCACTCTCTGTGCAAGCAAGAGGCACCATGTAAAAGGCTCAGTGTGCTCACACATGCCTATAAGCCCAGTTCTGTGGAAGGCACAGAGCCAGAACTTGGTAGCCACCACCCTTGCTCCAGGTCTTAGGGAAATGAAGTAGAGAGAGACAGCGCAGACACCCGACGCCCTCCTGTGGCCTCTACGAATGCACCTCCATACAAGCACGCTACACTTACGCACACACGCAAAATAAAGCATAAGACAGCTGTACTCTTGGCATAGGGCATGCCCGAAATCCCAGCACTGTGGAGGCTGAGGCAGGGGGATCCAGGCCACTGGCATGGATTACACAGAGATAACTTGCCTCAAAAAACTCCAGCTAAGCAAACAAACAAAAAATAGATTTTAGACTTTAGCAACATAGTTTCTAAGTGGAAGGAATGATGGTTTTTAAAAACCTGGATATCTTTTGGAAATATTTGAGAAGATGGGTTCATGTACTTAAATTTTTTTAATAATTTAAATAGCAATTACAAATGATTTTCTTTTTAAGACAAAGTTGTCTGTAGATCAAGTCTTTCGTAGATAGGGTTGACTCTGAACCTCTTATCTTGCCTCTGCCTCCCAAATGCTGAGGAGACAGACGTGGACCACCGTGTGCAATGCTGGGGCTAAAGCTGGGGCTTTGTGACTATCAGCAAGCAATGTACCAACGGAGCTGCATCCCCTCCCGCAAACGATTACGACCGCTATAGAGTCACTCTCTCCACTAGCATCCCGTCAGCTTACTCCCCGAGTTCTATTTAAAACAGTTCCTTAAGCACGGCAGGGAAGAGTCAGTAGGAAGAAGGCAATCGGCTTTAAAAGTGTACAGTGCAGTCTGTGCAGAGGTCTCGGCGTGGGAATCTGGAGAGAGTGAGATCTAAAACCAGGTGTCTTCACTATCAAATAAATAAAACCAAGGAGAGCCCCCCAAATACACTGGGGAACCTCTGAATGCTGGCATGCCAATGTAACATGAGCCAGGACATCCAGACTTTGGATATAACATTAATAACTTGATAACACTTCTAAACAGATTTCACACACTCATTCACTCACACACATGTGCGCGCACACACTTACATGCACACACACCTTTCATGGGAGATTGATAATTACTTCAATTAAGAGAAAGAATAATCTATTCTAACTCTGAAATCTCAAGAGAAATTAAATATAGTTTAATTACTCCTGTGACCTATTGAAGCAAACTTCTCAGCTATCAACAAAGACACACTACAAGTTCTCTACATTCCTGACTTTCTGCTGTGACTAACGTAGTCTGAGAAAAGCTGACATGTGTGTGCTTTGGGGGACACCCAGGACAGATTGTCAAGTGATGATAACAGTATCTTTTTGCTTGTTTTTTTAAATTAGTTCTCAGAGCAAAGTGAGGTAGAAAGAAAAAGCCTCCCTCTCTCTTCTGCTCCAGAAAAGCCTTTTATCCTTTCTTTTGTATGTATGTGAATGTACACGTGTGTACATATGTGTGTGCATGTGCATGCAGAGGCCAGAAGTCAACCTTGGGTGTCACTTCTCAGACATTATACACCTGGTTTTTGAGATTAAGTTTTGTTTATTTTATGTGGATGGGGTTTTGCCTTAACATATGTCTGTGCACCGCATGCATACAGTGCCTGTGGAGGCCAGAAGAGGGCGTCAGAGCCTGTGAGACTGGAGTTACGGGTGAGTCACTCACTGAGCCACCATGTGAATGTTGTGATTGAACCTAGGTCCTCTGGAAGAGTGAGCAGTGTTCCTAACTGTTGAGCCACCTCTCCAGCCCCCACCTGGTTGTTTATGAGGTGGGGTCTCTCACTGGCCTATGAGAGTAGGCCAAGCAGGCAGGCCGGTTGGCCAGCAAGCCCCAGGGACCTGCATATCTCCTCCCTCCCAAGGCTGGGATTAGAATGCTCCATCACACCTAGCTCTCTTACATGGATCTGAGGGAACCGGACTTGGATCCACAGGCTCACAAAACCCTAAGCTACAAACCCTTCACAGCAGAACTCACAGCTGAGGGCTACTTCTAAATTTGATCAGTGGAGGCAGAAGTCAAAGGAAATTGGTCTAGACAGCTGGGATCTTCATGTTATGCTTGCTTTGAATGTCTGTATTGGGCTGGCCATGTAAATCAGCAAACAACACACCAAAGACGGCACATACTGAGACATCTGAGCTCCCATACACCAGGCACATGGCTGCTTGGACTGGAAAGGTAAAAACATCTACGCAGTGGAATGCAATCCAGCCACAAAGAGGATGGAATCCTAACGTGTACAGCAATACGCATAAACTAGAGGGCGTCAGGAGAAGATAAGGACCTGTGGTGTTCACTCTACTTTTTGAGGATGGAGGGACGGCTCAGTGGGTAAAGATCTTGTTGCCATGTGCTGGATCTCTAGCACCCATGTAAAAAGCCGGGCATGGAGGTCCATGTCTGCAGCCCCAGCACTCAGGGACAGGAGGCAGGTGGATCTCTGAGAGTTCGAGGCAAACCTGGTCTACAAAAGCTAGTTCCAGGACAGGCTCCAAAGCTACAGCAAAACCCAGTCTTGAAAAACCGAAAAAAAAAGAAAAAAGAAAAAGGTGTGCTGACCTCTGGCCTTCACACGAACATTCACACACACGAACTCATACCCCACGGTGGTGGTTTGAATAAAAATAGCCCCATAGGGTAATAAGGAGTAGCACTATTAGGAAATGTAGCCTTGTTGGAGCAAGTATGTCACGGGGGGGGGGGGCGCTTTGCGGTTTCAGAAGCTCAGGCAAGGTCCAGTGGCTCACTCTCTTTCCTGCTGTCTGCCAATCTAGACGTAGAATTCTCAGCTACCTCTTCAGCAAGCACCAAGACCAGCGACTGAGGCCGCACACGAAGACAC